AAAAAAAAAAAAAAAAAAAAACTTGCTAGAATTAATTGTAGGGGAAATGGTGAAGATTGAAAGTGGAAAAAGAAGAATAGGACGAATAGTTTCGTGAAGGATTCATTAAGGAGAAATAATACGTACATACGTGATTACGTGTCGATATCTACATATGTGTACCATAACACAACGGATGTTAAAAAACGCAGGTTTGGTTTATACAATTCCGAAGCCAACGCAGCCATACACAGTTGGCTACCGAAGCTCCCTCTGGCCTCTCAGCTAATCGCCATCGTTGCCGCCATATTGTTTCCGTAGATTTTTTACCGTTCCTCGTTGGTTATTTGTGATAATAGCGAATTTAAACGAATCGCCTTTTGCTGAACACGCGATAATTCGGTGTGTTGTACAGGTTGCTTCAAAAAACTCGTCACGCGGATGGATTTGTTGAGAGACTGTGAGACAGAGAAACAAGAGTGGAAGAATGATATATCGAAAATTTTGAAACATCCTGTAAGACGATTTTTAATGTAATTTGTACAGGTTGTTTCAAAAGTTATTGAGATTATATTAAATTGCGTTTGAGAACTGTGAACATTGTTGGAAGATTGATGTAAGAATTTTGAAACATCTTGTAGTTCATATTATACAGGTTGTTTCAAAAATCGGCAGAATAGAGAGAATATTAACGTTCTGCTGGACATACAATCGAAGTTGTACAGATCGGTTCAAAGGTAAATCTTTGAAACTGTGAAAAGAATATTGTTGGTTAATGTAAAGAATTTTGAAACATCCTGTAGGACGTGTAATCGAGACACACGTGCACACCTACATATACATACACATACACACACATTCACACATATGCCGTGAAAAATAAAAGAAAAAGAAAAAAAAGAAAAGAACGTAATTGTTGTTATAACGATGCCATTTTAAAAAGAGGGAAACTTGCGATATTTTGTACGGACCCAATTTCGATTCTTTCTCGAACGTTCTCTTTTGATGATCGTACGAGGGAGGACAGAGGGGCGTACGAAATCGGCGAGGTTCATTGTATTATGTGATATACCGTCTACAATACGTAACGAAACGAATGGAAGAATAAATATGCGAATAAATCCATGATCGTTGATTCTTTCTCAAAGTGGTTATTTAATCCTGATGTGTGATTTTCGATTCTTCGCAGAAAATGGTGGATCAGAGATTTAGAAAACGATTTAGAAATTGAGAAAATTTTTTTATTCGATGAAGTGTTGACAACCGATTGAAATTTTGTTTAATTTTAAGATTAAAAATACGAATGATCGAAAATTTGAAAAATTAAGAAGTTTAACATTTCGTAAATTGAAGAATTTCAAAAGATAAAAAGAAAAAGATAAGAAGTGTAAAGAAAATTTTAAGATTTTACAAAATTTTGAAATATAAAGATTTTGTGATTTAAAAAACATTACAAAGATTAAAAGAGAGTTTGAATATTTTAAAAAATTATTTAAAATATAAAATTTGTTCAATATTTCAAACTTAATTAGAATTCCAACGAACTCGACTGAATATCAGTACGTCAATCGCAGGTACGTATAAATAAAATATATAATAATAAAAATACATAAGTTTATATCGAGATTAGTTATCTCCTTCAATGAATTTCTTTTTTCTTTTTTTTTTTTTTTTTTTTTGAATTTTTAATTTATTCCATCGTTCAAAACAACAAATTCATTTTTAAAATTTAAAATTAAATCAACATTTATCCCTCAATTCCACGATGTATGTATATCGATGATATATTACATTCTTCATAACACATGCATAGAAGTGGAGATTGGAATCGAATTGAATTGAGACAGAAAAGAGATACGAGTGCGCAGCATTAGATCGAACCATCGTAATTTATTGATCTGCTCTAAAACTGGCGACAATTACATAACGCATGTTAGTCCGCCCACATTTGTCTTGAATCCAAAAATAAATCTCACAATCACCGAATCGAATAAATTTATTTCAATCCAATGAAAAAAATTTCGAAATTATTTTATTTTATTCTTACAACTTTTCGATCGTTTTTTTTATTAAATTGATAATAAAAATTAATTTTTTGGCCATTTGAATATTTTTCGAAAAAAAAAAAGATACTAAATTTTTTTCAATTTCAATGTCACGAATAAAAATATATCGCTTTAATATAGCGAAATTTAGAATGCAAAAAGGATAAAAAAAGAAGAAAACCGGAAAAAAATTCCTCTAAGTCTTGGGAATTAATTATACAGAGACCATGGGTGAATGGACGAAGTGAAAGGATTTTTGGCAAGAAATAAAGACTGGAACGAAGGAGGAGGAAAGAACAAAGAGAAAGAGAGAGAGAGAGAAAAAAAGAAATGTGTGTTTTATGGGTCAGAGGATCGTCGACACGATGAATCGACTGGTCTTTTACCTTTTGTTCGCGTCATCGAACAAAATTCCTGGTCGACGTAAGCGTAGGTCATGGTTCTCGTTCACGAGACAGGTAGAAGTGAAAGAATGTCACGGACGTGTCGAGAAAAGAATGAAGAACAGGCGTTGAGAGATTGTTATTTTTTTTTTAATCTTGATTACTTAATTAATTAATCTATTTATTTATTTTTTATTTCAACCTTCAACGGAGATAATTATTTTAACTCTTTCGCTCTTTTTCGTTTCTTAAAATTTTAATTAAAATCTAAAAGTTCAAAAATCAAAAAAAAAAAAAAAATAAAGTAAAATACGTTCGTTAAAAATCATATCAGGATCAACAATAGTCCTTAGCATGGACAAAAAAATTCTTATTGGGCAATCGTCCAATACTTTTTTAAAAAGACCGTAAAATACTACTATAAGCAATTCCATTTACTTCTAATCCCCGCTTAAAGTAAAACGAGAAGTTGTAAAGGCGTCGATTAGACAGCGACGAGCGAGTAACTAATCGTTATCGTTTCACTGGATCGAAGCAAATTATTCATTTAATTTCATTGTCGCTGG